AAGCGGTAGGAACAAGAGAACAGAGAGTATGATATAACGATAGTGAAGGGACACAATGAGCTGCAATAGATGTGGTCGCATGGTAGGATGTATGCATTCTTCGTGGGAGCAAGTTTCTGTAGTGCTATCGTTGCATGCCTTGCGATGGATCTGCAGTGTGCTCGCTGGTAGGAATCGTTTGCTGCAGTCTGGGCAGTTGTCATAATCTTCGTATACACAAAACACCGGTTGAGGCGTCTTCCCTGACCCGAGTTGACTGTAAAGTGCTGACGGGACATTGCAGGGGCCTTGCTCTTCAGACACCGATGATGAAACCAGAGATCCAATAATCAAGGGTTTGAAAAGACTAGAGCGCGAGGTATTAGTTGGGGGTCATCTTGATAAAGGCTAAACCGTCGGTACTTACAAAGTACATGTATAGCTCGTTGTTCTTGTTGAAAAGAGCATTGAGTTCCGCTTCAGTATCAAGTCTTGAGACATGACAAGGACAACGCGTAATAGTTCAGTTCTTAGAGTTGCGCTTAAGCCTTGTACTTCTGCCGGCGTTATCTGTCCAAGAGACGGATCCCGAGATTGGGGAATGTGGAAGATGAAGAGATCCTCAGAAGTAGAATCCGTCAGATGTTGTCGAGGGCCTTTGTGCGAGAAGTAGACTGAAGTACACTTCCTGGTAGAGAATTTACCTTTCTTCTTCTAGAATCAGATCGCAACCTCATAGGCAGCAGTCTTGTACTCATATGACGACACAGAATAACATCACTGCCTTCAGTACAGCGACATGGCCAGGGAATGGGATGAGAAGATTGATAGCGTCCAGTTGGGCCGGGCTGCCGGCAATGCCGTTAGTATACAGAATCTAGTTATAGAGGACAGAGTACATACCTGAGTTCGCTTACGACAGCCACAATGGCACAAGTAAAGCACTCCTTTTTGTTGCAGTCTTCGCAGTGTCCTGAATCCAGGCTCGTTCCCATCAACGGCATCTAAAGGATCAGACACCGAACAGGCCTCAGTGTCAGAGTCGCGGGCTCGTGCCTGACTATTTCTTGAAACACCAATTGTGGGCGATTAAACCATTTCCCCCTTTAGTATAAGCTGGTCCTGCCCATGAAGGGCCGTCTAGCTAAGGCCGACGGGTTTGCGAGTCAGGAGGTTATAGACATATGACCACTTGTCCTGTGGTACTGCTGAGTTGTGGTAGATGGTGCAGGTAGAGGGCATAGGTAGAGGGTAGAATTCACTGAAGACAGACGTAAGAGTGGAAGAGAAGTAGCCAATGCGTAGACAAGAGAAACCGTAATTTGATCCTAGCAACTCACTACTCGTCGATGTCTTGCTCGGTGTGCTGATGATCTTCATATCTACCTTCTTGTCTAGAATCATCTCCGTTGTGCTCATTATCAGATATCCTCAGCAAGAAGATTAATACTTCCACATCATTCGACTACAAACTCTCGATACTCCAGATATAGACAAAGACAAGTAGGCATCACCTTCCATAGGTGTGACAGTATGTGAATGTGTATTTCACGTGGACGTGTATGACGATTGACATCCTTTGGAGTAGAGTCACGGCGGTCTGGGTCCTTCTTCTCGTGTTCATCGCGGTGTGAATGTGTACAAGTGCAAGTACTTGAGTTTGTATGAGTGTGAGTTTGAGTGTGAGTTTGAGTGAGTCTCAGTGGCCGATGGTGCATCATTGCATCCCACATGTTGTTCAGCCTCAAGCCTGGTGATGTTGTGCCAAGAGCTTGGAAGGCCTGGTGATGTGCCGTATATATATAGAGGTGTTGGAGTCTTGGATCGGGGGCTTCTCTCGCTCAGTAGCCCCTTTGGCCAGTACGTGACCAAATGCAGGTGGTTATACATACGGAATTTCTTGAGGCGCGACCCGTTAAACCAGTTATAAAGATTTACGCTCACGGATATAAGCTGTGTGAGAGTCTTATTGTTGCAATCGTCCAAGATCTTATATATAAAGAGTGGGAGGGTTTCGATGCCGATGCTTGGCATTGTACTGACATCCAGCGCAGATCAGCTGTCGGAGTGCTCCTGGGGAAGGAGAAGCGGAGCAACGATGGTGGTGGCAGAAGGTGAACTCGAAAGAACGGGAAAGAAAGAAGAGAGCTGCTTGACAACGGCAACGTCTGAGGCCGCTTGGGCCTTCATCTTGCAGATGTATATAATATAAATGAGAATAAAGATGTGCGCCAAGGTAAAGAGAAGGAGGAATGTCGTATAGTATAAAGAAGATGGACAAGCTGTTTATCCGTTTTCCCTCGTCACTGACACAACTGAGGAAGGACAGCGTTCAAAGGTCAGTCTTCATCTGGATCAGGCGTATATAACCTCATGGTCTCCAAGAGCGCTCCGGGTAATTGCATTCGAAGTATTCCTCAACAACCTGAAAGGTTTGGAGAGTCATAACTCCGATGCGTGAACGGAAGCCCGCAAAGAGTGGGGGAGTAGAGAGGCAACGAAGAGAAGAAAGGGGGATATTAATGAAGATGGAAAGAGGAGGTCCGCAGCTGGGCGGCCCCCCTACTTATGAGATTTCATGGACAGTCTGCTTCTCAGGATCAGGTAAGCACAACTACACTCTCCAGTCTCCTCTGCTTGTCCGTAGAAAGCAATGACACATTCATATTGCAGACCACGCATGTATGTTTCTAATAGAAACGACGGTAAAGTAGAGGAAGTTTCCCGTGATTGTCACAAACATGGGTAACACCTCAGTCCTGCGGCGACATCGTATTGCATCCGGCCCTATCATTTGTCTTTGCTCCGGACCATATGCAGTAGCCCAAAGGCTGTGTTACTGCAGTTAGCCGCGTATTCACACCGCAACATCAATGCAAACAGATATTCCCCTTGACTTTGCCATGTCAAGCAGGCCTAGGCTATCTGACTGCTTGTTCCCTGTTTCGTCATAAGATCGCAATTGTTGAGGTGAGAGGAGTTGACGGAAGGGAGATTGCAGAGTTACGTATCAGATATCAGGAATCCCAAGGCAAAGAGGCATCAGAAACCAGTTTGTATCGGAGCATTCCCTCCTAGTTCCAGGTTTGTCGGTCATTATCGGTTACGGACTTGGTTCACTATGATGGGAAGAGGCAGTCGTCAGCTTGTAGTGACTTAGATGCTTGCCTGCCGAAATCACATTGCTTAACTCAAACAAACCACACGGATACTGAGTTTAAATTGCTTGGCTCAGAAACGTTCAAATTATTTGTGTTTCAACCCTGATGCAATTTGTAGTCAATGACCCTCAACGACGGGGAAGTGCGTAGGAAACATGAATCCATCCTACCCGGTGAACAAATGCCACAGGCGCAAGCTGCAAGACAAATGGGATTGATCATACCCAATTGTTTGCACCCTGTCAACAAAAATTACCAATCACCTTCCGGTATGGTGTAGTGGCTAACATTTCGCGCTCTCATAACCTGAGAGATCAGTACCGCGGAGCCCAGGGTTCGATTCCCTGTACCGGAGTTAGCAAGCATTATCTTTTGCCTGCATCGGCAATTACTTTTTGCTGTTTGTATGGTGGAAGATCTTGGTTGTTTGATGTACTGAAACAAGAGTAACATGGATGCTTGTCGTGATATCTGCACTGTGCATTGTTCTGGCAGCTACTGGAATCGTCGCAAGATGTTACAGTGCGTATAAGCGCAAACACTATACGCTGATATCATTTGTGGCTTCTGTGCCCCTCCATCATCATTGCCCCACGTTCAAGGTTTTTGCCCAACGGCAACTTCAAGCACAAGCTTCCGTTACACTAAACATCACCAAATTCCCTCGCAAAGAGCGCAGAGCAAATCATCATGGATCCCCTCGATAACATGGCCGGTGCCCCCGTGCCCAAGAACTTTGATGCCGAGAATGCCCAGAACAACGAAGATGTGCGTCACACCAAACCTCGATACCAAACAAGACAGTGACTGACAGTCCCCCCAGATCGAGAAGCAATTCGCTGTCAAGGTCGTCCAGCACATGCAGACCTACTGGTCCATCCTCGAGCGCGTAAAGGGCTCCTCCCTCCGCCTCACCAAGATCGACGACGAGATCATGGAGCACCTCAACGAGGCCTTCCCCGAGTTCGACCCCGCCGCCAAGGTCAATGAGGACGAGATGAAGAGCAAGGATGGCAAGAACAGATGGCGCGACTTCATGATGAAGTACGAGAAGAAGGTCGACGATTACAACTTTGGTACCATGGTTCGCGACAGCCCCAAGGTCGAGTACGAGGAGAACACCACTATTTTTGTTCCTCGCATGCAGTTCTACGCTTTCGAGATTGCCCGGTAAGTTGAATTCGTCGCTGGAAATAAGAGGGAGAAGCTGATTTTTGCTATAGTAACCGTGCTGGTCTTAACGACTGGATCTACGAGCAGGCTCAAGCTGAGAAGGCCAAGTCCAAGTAAACAGAAATTGCGATCAATACAAAAAAAGACATAAAAGCGAAGTGGCCAAGTCGAGCCATGCGTCCACAGCGCCGGGCCTTGAGCCCACACGAGTCCAGTTGAGGACACTGGATGCAGGACGTCAATGATGTTATGAGAACAAATATTTTCGGACAGGCGGGATTTAAAACTGGTTTTCGTAAGGGTTTTATATACTGGATTATTCCGTGATACCCTTAGAAATACATGGCATTGACATCTGGCTGCAATATAATGTTCCTCACTCGTTTCTGGGCTACCCTATAACTGAAGAATGATGGCCAAATTTCAACGTGGATGAACTAATGTCGGGGTGAACATTCGGAATTTCAAGGTTCGCAGCAAGGTTGAGTTGGATACGTTTTTCCATGTCGAGCAGACTTTTTCTGGGGGTTGATGATGTGTGCCAGTTGGAGCGCTCAATCAATCATATGCATGCTGATGTTCTACCCAGAATGATCACGATCCCTCGTGCTCATGATATGAATTCTGATCGAAACGAATGCTCTAAGTTTACATGCTACTGGTGAATCTATGTATACATCTTCTCTCTTACACCTTCAGGAACTGATCAATGTCAACCCTCTGGAAATAGCTAATATGCCCAAACTCAACCCAATGCTGCGCTATGCGATCATGACTAACGAGGATAAGCTGGCTTTCAACAAACCTGTCTGCGAGATTGTTAGCTTGGTTGTCTTCATACAATCCCGTTCGTACTCACCTGAGATAAATCCTGTATCTGCAATATGGCCTTGGCTGTGAACCGCCCTCGAACCTTGGAAGCGAGGGTCTGCGGGAGGCCCGTCAACAAGATTGCTCAAGTCTTTGGCTAAAAAGGTGATCTCTCCGCGCGGAACATTAGGATCTCCCGTTAGCTTAATAGCCTCGAGTCGTCCTTGATACGTGCGCTCTTCATCCCGTCTCGCAACCCAAGCTTCGTCGCTCTCCTTCTCTCCGCGAATAAGTCCTAGTTCTTCGTCGGTCGCTGGAGTTTCGTCGTCAGGTTGGTGAATAAGCAGGAACTCGCATCCATGGGTGCTGTAATCGCCAACCCAGATTCCTCTCCACGGCTTCAACGGTGTAGGCGTGTACAGTTTTGGATCGAGCGTTGAGTAAGTGATCAGCTCCTCGCCGACGTGGACACCTGGAAGACCTCCGGTCGCTGCGGGACGAGACAATCTTAGCATGTTAAATATCCCAGTCATACCGGCAGCCATACCAACGCGAGCTAATCCGCCCGCCATTTCCATCCATTGTCGGACTCGGAAGAATCGCTCGGAAACATCTCTGCGCCGTCGGGGTCGGGTCGCTGGTGTGTTGACAAAGATACCCTCCTCGGTGATTTGTGTGCTGCCGCCTGATACGTGGTGATCCGAAGGTACGGACGGTGGTGGCCAGATGTTGCCGTATGGGAATGTGCTCTTGAGGTTATCATTGGCTTCGTCTTGATCGAGCTCACATGTCAGCATGAAATTGCTGAATAGAGCGTCGATTCGGTCATCGAGTGTGACGGGCATTTCATCGGCGAAGCGATTAGCACCAGGTCGAGTTGTGAACTCAACTGGAGCTTCGTCTCCCACTCGGAACTGCAGAACAGGCTTGTCAAGATGAAGTTTGACTTTTGGGTCAAATTCTTGAATCAAGACATCGCCTTGACCAAGCCAGCTTTGGTGTAGCGGTCGACCTCTGCTTGCGAGAAGTTGGTAGCCCTCTATACAGCCTCGACGAGGGTCATAGCGAACAAGCATGAGTCTTCCTGTAAGATCACGGTCGCAAAACCAGATCTTTTGTCGAGGAAGGAACCAGAGGCGATCATGAGAGGCGTAGAGGTCATGATAATTCTTGCAGGGATGAGGACTTGTGATCGTCATACCAGGAACATTCTCTTGGACAAGAGGGTGCCAAAGAATGTCGGACAGAGCATGCTTGCGCAGATCACGACATGTAGCGGAAATAGCTGTGAGCTCATAAGGTGAAAGATGAGAAAGGATGTTATCAATAAGCTCAGGCGGAAGGTTGAGAAGTAATGAGTCCTCTGATGGTATCTTTAACTGAGGCTCCGATGACGACAATGGGTCCGATAGCGGTGACTCGGGATCTTGACTAGAGGTCGACATTGTTTCTGAGAAAGAGTGTCTGTATGATGAGCTTGATCAAGATAAAAGAGGTAGAAGTTGAAGCTCAGTTACCTTTACTTAACTTTATGTCGATTGCCTTCAGCTTTGGGCAGGGGTGGTGAGCTAGATGTTGATCTAGACGGTCTGGACTTGGGGAGCTTTGAAGGGAGCTTCAGTGATGACCCCCCAGTGATGGATGTAATGCAGCTAAGCGGAGTTCAGCCGTAGGAGAGGTCGACCTAGGAAAAGATGCAAAGACAGCAATGGCTAAACACCTTCAAGATAAGAGAATATCCAAGTAACTTATTTCTTATAGCAGTTCATTCTTATCTGTTAGGATATTAAATATAGATTTATGCCTCCTTGGTAATGATCCTATCCATCGCTCTTTAAAGTGGAGCGACGGATCGTCATCCATTAGCCGATCAATTAACATGCTATACTGTAGATGTTTAAAGATAGACTTGAAGCAAGAGAAATAAAGGTTATCGCAATAAAAAGGAGTACAAGCTGTTAGAATATTTCCAAGACATGCATGCAGTCGTACCTGTTTAACCCCAATCCTATAGACCCTGCATTATCAATCTAAACAAAGATACTTGGCTTCCATATCGAGAGCCACTACCCAGAACTAACGACGGTGGCCGGTACATAGCTGGGGTCCAGGTCCAGACCTTGGTCTTGGTCTAGGTTGCATTGGATCTTGAGGCCTGACACTCTCTGGTACTTGATCAGGGTTCATCTCAACACCAAATCCCAAGGTCACGCGGCTCTTTTCGTCACTCAAAACACACACCTTTGCCTTTGTACTACTGCACTCACTGCACTTCTGCTTTGCTGGCAGATTGTACACCACCCGTTCACTGAAGCGACGTCATCTCCTGCTCATAACCACTGGGAATACCTTCATCTTTTGCCTCTCACGTCACGTATTGATTCTTTATAACATACCAGCAGCCATCCTTTTTTTTTTTTTTT